TGATGCATTGCTCACCTTGGAGTATTCCTCTAGAGTACTTTCCAGCTGTCGGGCATCTTCATTGTTTGTTATACCTGCTATGCAGTCATCCGCAAAGGCCAGTATCTTGACTGTTGGTTGTCCTTGTGCGGTTATCCCCATGAGACGTGAGTCAGTTACTCGGAGGAGTGGGTCAAAGCTGAAATTGTATAGCAGTGGGCTGAGGGGATTCCCTTGTTTGAGCCCTCTGTGTGGTTTAATCTTGTTTGTTAGGAATCCAGGACCGCATACCACCATGGTTGCAGATTCTGTCAGGAGCATCGCCCATTTTATGAATCTTCATGGGAGTTTGAAGGCATGTAAACATTCTTTTAGGTATGGCCAGCTAACACGGTCATACGCCTTTTCCTGATCCAAGAAGACCAGGGCACCAGTTGCTTTGTATTGGCAAATGTTTGCAACAGGGTGAATGTTGTTCCAGATTGAACGCCCTGGTATATACCCAAACTGGTTGGGTGATAGGACGTCAGATGCAATTGCATCTAATCTGGCTGCTAAAAATTTTAGTTAGAATTTTTTGTGTCAGTGTTAAGAGTGCAATTGGGCGCCAGTTGCCTAGGTCCAACTTGTCACCCTTTTTATACAAGGTTATAACGTAGGATTCATGGCCTCCTGATAATAGGCGTGTTTCCAATAAGCTCTGGTTCATAGATGCCAATAGGAGGGGGGCAATTTGTTGAAAATATTTTTTTCAAAATTCGTAGGGTATCCCATCAGGCCCTGGGCATTTCCTATGTGGTGCACCGCGAATTGTCTCCCAAAGCTCCTCCCGTGTAATAAGGGATAGTATATTGTAATTTGGTGGTGTACTTTGTATCTTAGCAGTCTGTATAAATTCTTTAATTTTTTGTGAATCTGTTGGCATTTCACAATATAATTTGGTGTAATAGCGGTGTACTTCCACCTTGACCTCCTCAGGGTCAGTTGCCACAGTGCCATTGGTCTTGCGGACCTGTGTGCATGCAGGCTGGTTTCTGCAGGAGTGGAATTGGCAGAAAAAGTATGTCAAACAGGTTTTGCCTTCCTTTATGAACTTACCTTTGTTTGATACTTTGATTCTGTGTTGGTGTTCAAAGATGAGATTGTTAAGTTAGGCAAAAATTTTTGCCCATTTGTGTCCCCAGTTGGGGCTATAGCCAGATCTCAGAGTATTTATTTCCAGGTGGTCTAGTTCTGCCAAGGTACGCTTGATTGTGGCTGTGTCTGCGGTGTACTTGCGTGATGCAATATGTCAGGTTTTGTTGATTAAATCCTTTTTGAAATTTTCTCATGTTCTGATGGGATCTGAAGTGAATGGGGCTGTGAATTCTGGGTTTGTGGCCTTGTTTTTGACCCAGTCAGATATCTCAGGCAATTTTATATTTTCTGGTGAAGCTTTCTCCAAGGCGACACCTGTGTGTGGGATTGGGTTGGTGCTAACTGCACCGTAACTAATTGGTGGTCAGAAAAATTAATCTTTTTTGTTATAAATTTGGAGATTCTTGAGCGGTGGGATTGCAGGATGAGGATGTGGTCAATGTGACTCATCAATATGAGCGCTCCCTCACGTATGTTGGGCCACATCATGTGGGGAAGGAGTGGTGAACTGGGGGAAGAGCATCCTGTAAGCCAAGAGATGCCTTCATTGTGCAGAATTCAATATGTCCAGGTGGGTATCCCCTGGGATTAGGCCATCAATCTATATTGGGGTTATCCCAGCAATTGAAATCGCCTAACATAATGGTATCTAGTGGGAGGGTGAGGGTAGAAATGTTTTCAAAAATTGTTTTCTCTCAGTTGCAGTGCATGGTGCATAGATACATGCTATCAAAATTATTTTCTCTTGGCATGTGATTGTTGCTACCAGGACTTAACCATGCAAGTGTGATGACGAATTTGTAATTTTAAATTTTTTGTTGTTTTGGACGATCACCCCACAGTGAGACGTCCATACTGATTGTGATGGTGCGACCCTGGTTGACCAGGATCCTTCTTCCCCTTGTAGACAGTGGGTTTCTTGGATGGCCAAGATGTCTACAAGAGGTTTTTGCAGGAATTCCAGCTTTTTGGCTTGGGACATATGAGCCCTGGCTCCCATGATGTTTAATGTCCCTAATGACACTGAGGTGCCCGCGGCGCCTCAGGAGCAGTTGGGAGGGCCCTCTGGCCATATCCCACTGCGGCTCATTTTGAGCCATGCTCCACGTCTGTACTCCAACTCTTTCACTGCCATTGTTGGTTCCCTTGATCTGACCCAATGATTCAAGGGAATTGCAGTTTTTTACATTTGCGTCAACTTTTCCTGCACAGGTCTTGTAGATTTGATTTGATTTGATGCAGATTGTTGATTGGATTTTATATTTTTGAGGTTTGAATTTTGGTGAATTGTGCACCACATTTTCGCCCAAATTGTAGTTGCATTGTTCCTCAGTATGTGCATGATTGATGTCGCTTTGTGACTCAGTCAGGTTACTGTGAAAATTTTTGACCTGGGCATATTGTTCTGATTGGTTGGTTCAGTGAATATCCAAAATATCCTCCCAAATTTGTCTGGGGTTAATGGCGGACTCCACATGTGCCACTGCTTTGGCCGCTGCTTGTTTGCAGGCTTTTTGTGCCGCTTTATGCTGTTTGCTTGTAACTGGGTCCACAATGGAGTATAGTCCATCTTCACCCCAGCAGAATGGGTGGTGACCATCAGTCATTTTAGCAAAGTTTTCATTATCTTTGTCCATTGCTTCCTCACAAAAATCATTTTCCATTAAGCCCTCTTTCACAGGGCATGCATGTTCCTTGTGGCCCAGTGAGCCACAGTGGTTGCAAATGGGTGGCGCGCGTTCCAGTGTAACTTGGAATGCGGCTGAATGGCCACCATCTGCAAAGTGAAATTCTGCTGTGCGGAGAATTCTGGATAAGTCCTCTTCCACTTCTGGGAAGGGATTGATTACAGCGATAGCTTTGCCCATGCACAGGTTGGGCATCAAGCGAAATCACTGTAATTTGAGTTGCTGAATTTCTCCGTAGGCCATGAGATCTTTGCAGAGCTCCTCCTTAATTAACTTACAAGGAAGGTTGATGATGAGCGAGTCAAAAGAGATGAACAAAGTTTTTGCTTTGTTCCATCTGGTGCGCACAGTATGCACACAATTTTTTGCCCTTGGGGAGGGAAATTTCCACACAGAGATTTTGCTGCGGCATTAGCTTCATTGGCTGTTTTGAAACCAATATCAATCCAGCCACAGCCCATGTTGTTGGTGGCTATGTACACCACGTGAGGGAAAAATGAGAGCTGTGCCTCACATGTTTTCTCCCACAGGGTTGGTGACTCATCCCCAAGAAAGAGTCTGATCCCATGCTCCACCTTTGACAAGGGTTGGTTGAATTGAACGTACATATATTGTGCATGCTTTACAGTAAATACCATAAACCCAGATGGTGTCTGAGTTTGTGATTTCTTTATGGATTGGGTTCCTGGTTCCCCTCCAGGGCGTTTCTTGCCCTTAGTTGCACTGTTAAGCGCACCACTCGCCGCAACGCTCGCCCATATTGTATTATTTTATTGATAAAGTCGCCCATCTTTCCTGTGTGTGATTATCCAGAGTTTGCTGTTCAAATCAAATCATAGTAACTAAAGTGATTGTTATGAGAAAGAAAAGCGAATTGATTAAATTTGAAAGTTAAGAACTTACCACAAGATGGCCAAAACCCATTATCCCAACCAGTCAGGAATGCACCAAGCAGACCACATGAAAAAACACCAGTGGCAAGGCACCTCTTGCCCTTTGCGAGATTGCTCAATACTACAAAATCAATCTCTGTTTCCAAGCCTCTACTATTGCTGCCCTTCAGTAGCTTCTGAAGCCTACCTTGTAGGGCTTTTCTAGGATACAAGAGGGCCTTTGCCAAAAACAAGAAGGGGCTCAACCACAAGTTGATCAATGAAATATCCTTAAAGGGCTTTTGCAACGATCTTATGGAGTTCAAGACATAATTTAGGACCCCAGACTCCAAACGCCCTTCAAATCATTCTGCGAATGCCCACAATACCCTCACTGACCTAGTCTCCATGCATGAGTGCACAATTTACCATCTTTTTTTATTTGAGGTGGGTCACCTTGGGACAAATATATCGCACCAATAGAGAGGATAGGGAGTAGGTGTCAGGGTAAATCCTGACATTAGTGGAATTCCTGAGATTATAGATATTGTCAGTCAAATCAATATGATATGTGATGAAGTTAGATCAAATAATTGCATATCAAATTAATGATTGTAGTGAAAATATTCAATTAATCATTTAAATTACTTCATTTGCAATAGTATTCAGTCAATTAATCGCACCAAAACGAATTTATGATGAGACTGAGACAATTACCACTGCCTTTCAAAATCACATGCAAGTTGCAATCCCATAAGCTCCAGAGAAGAATAGTGCACTGTTTAAAATCAAAAAAGCTTAGGTAAGTCCAGGAAGTTGGATGGTATATAAAACCAAGGTATTCATTTGGTTAATCTTTGCAGTCAGTAAAATTATTCTTATAATGCAAACACTATTAAGTTTATTTTACTAAAGTGTTATCATTACCGATCTACCACCCAGCCTACATGAAACTCCCTTCCAACTTTCTCCTTTTAAAGCCATGTCTTTAAGCAACTCCCATACCAGCTTACCCACCATTCCTTATACCTGGACACCTCTAATGTCCTTGTCATACTGGGCTAAACCCCTTGGTTATGCTAACTCATGGTTAGCTACCCCCAACCAGGTCAGTAGCAAACCAGTCCCTGACAGTAGGGAGCAACAATATAGGAGTGGAGGACAAAGCCCAAGTACTGGGGCAAAACCTTCCTGCACATGTTCTGATAGGCCGGGATTACATGAATTTAACTTCACTGATTTTTTTGGTTGGACAGAGGCATGGTGCTGCAAATCCACATGTATTGATATCCTCTTGGCTTAGAAAATGCAATTAATGCAATTTATGACAAGATGGGATTTGAACCCACAACGTGAGGGGTGATAGCCCAGACGCCCTCCCAACTATGCCACACCCCTCAATTTACCATCTTGATGTTGTTAAATAAATTAAAAAAAGAGGTTCCAAACGCTCCCAAACTTGAGCAATCTGTCAACTCCAACTCCAATATCATACCTAGCATGATGCTACCACAGCCAACTTCAGCTTCAAGCCTTCTGAGTTAGTTACCACTGTCAGAGTTAAAGAGAAATTTAGTGAGATCTACTTTACTATGGAGACTGACTTGGGATGAATCACAAATCATTTCAAGGTTGACAGTGAAGCCATGCCACCTTCTCCTGTGCCACGCATCAGTTTAAGAATCAGGATATAAGTGAAGGCGCGTTAAAAATGATCAACCTCTGCGAGGCAATGGTCTTTGGCTTACTTGACCCAGAGCTACATCACTGCTCCAGATCTCTTGCCTGTTTGCCAGAGGAACAGACAGCCACCTGATGTTGCACAATTTGGTTGTTCTTTTGCACAAATTGGGTTCATCTTGTACCTGGTGCCTGAATCATCTCGTCAGCTATACACCTCAAACATGCCATTGTCATCTTTCCCTGGCTAGATCACAGTTGAGAATATGCTGTCCTGACTCAGCTGCTTTGATAATCCAATATTGTGACTCCTTCCTATATTATCAAGTTAACCCAAAGCATCTGCTTATCCTCGCCATTAATACAGAACCTCCTGATGAAGCCCCATTTCCTGATGTGATGCCACTACATTACGTTTGTCAAACCTGATGTTATTAAACTCTTCCAATGGCAATCACATTGTCAGGATTTGAGATAACAAACAAATCAAATTTCCCACTTCTAAATTGAGCCATAACGAATTTAGTCTCAAACATGTTTAAACGAAGATGACTTCAGGATTCTCATCCCCAATCCATGAGTCACATGGGGTGGAGCTGCCACCAATTTTGGTCATGTGGGCAGCGAAATACTTTGAGGATGCCCAACAGGCGGTCAATCTGGAAGACCAGGAAAGATCCTGAATGGATGGGGCTGCGATGATCCTTAAGGCACCGAGTCCACACTCACTCTATAAATATTGACACCCTTTAACATAGTATTCTATTCAGTATTCTATCCACCTTTCCATTTCCTTCTTGACCCTTTTTATGAATTTGCAGCTTTAAGCCACCTTCAGACCTCAGCGACAGTCTAGAGAACTGTAACACCAACAAACGTGGTGCTCACTACAGGGGGCTCCAAGCTGTCCTAAGTGAAAACGTCTATCACAAACAAAGAGAATACTAGCATCCAAGAAGACCAATCTGCTGGTCAGTCAAGAAGCATTGCTTGATGGGTTAGTACCTTGCAATATGGAATACCAACCTCACAGCCTGAAAGGTTAGAATTCCAGGCCACATTACAGTTCTCCCTGACCTCTATTTATGGAAGTTAGTACCAACTTCAGTACGAGAACCTCAACAATGTTGTCCAACAAATTTATAAATGGCATCTACTCTGTGGGTGCTCGCTCCAGCTGTTCCTGTGCCTCTTCCATTCCCTCTACCATGTGGGACCTCTATGACTTGGCCCAGCTGCTCGCAGGAGAACTTGTCCTGGGTCTCAAACGCTACCTTTTCAACTTTGTTAACCCAGTTATTCATCACCTACTTCAATTAGTTGAATTGCATCATCAAGAAGTCTCCAGACAACTGGGGCTCACCCAGGCCTTGCAATCTCGCATCATAAATTTCTATAACACAGAATCCTTCTTTGTTCACACCAGCCATGAGGCCATTATTGATAACTGAAAGTTGATCAACGAGGTCTGAGACCAAATTGTGGTGTTAGATAGCGGGATCTCTGGCTATCTTGAGGACCAGCTGCATCAGAACGTCCAACTTCTTGAGGCAACATGGAATCAGCGCCTCCTCCAAGTTGAGGATCTGTTACGACCCTGAAACAACACTATCAGGAGCTGGCCTCTCGTGACTACTCCTCCAAGAGTGAAGGTCCTAAAAGGGCCTAGGGGGCTGAAGGCCTTAAAGGGCGTGTAGGACCCCAAGTACCATAGGGTCCTGTAGACCCCCTGGACCACCAGGTTCCTCAGCTCCCACCACTGGTGGCCTTGAGGACCCATGGAGGAAGGATCTGATAACAGCCATGGCTGCCCTACGCAATCAAATTTGGAATGTAGCTCAAGGATGCAAACTATGGGTATATGGAGTCCCCTTCGACCCTCAGGTCTCCATTGATGCACTGTCAGATGAAATGGAATAACTCAGTGTCTTCACCAAGATTACTGATACTCTCATCTCTCAGATTGAACAAACTTTATAAGGTTTTGAAACCCGTTTGACTACCCTCAAGAGCCGGCTTCACCTTCAGGGCACCAACACTTAGACTATAAAGGAGCAACTCGCAAATAGGGCTTTCGTTTCCTCCCTCAACCAAAACTGGGATGACATCCAAGTGGACCTTGAGGGCCTACAGTGACAGCTAGACCAGCATGCCCCCTGCAACTATGCGAAAACTGAGATCTCAGAGCCAGCGGCCATCTCTGGTGTTAACACCCTATCCAATCCTCTTGTAACTAACTTTAAGCCTAGTCTTAGAAAAGGTTCACCCTTGGCCAGAAAAGCATTGCCTCCTTTTTGTACACATATGAGAGTTCCATGGAGGAGGCCACCAGCCAGCGGAAGGTAAAGCATATCCACTCCTGCCTCAACAGCACTGCCCAGAAGATCAAAAGTCCCTATTCTAAGGATTGCAACACCTGGGAACAGGTCCATACAGCCTTAATCCAAGAGTTCAGCGGCAATCAAACCCTAGACAACCAAAAACAGGTGTTCATGGGTATCAAACTGAATAAATGAGAAAGCTTCATGGAGTTTTCCAGCCAGTTTTATGCCTAAGAACAACCCTTAGTCACTACAAATTGTATCACCCTGGATGATATATAAACACTGTCATTTCTGCGTTGAAATCCTACCATGAGGTTCAAATGCATATGATTGGACAGAAGAATGGGTTTACCTGTATCGAAGAGATCAAGGAAGCACTTAACGAGATCCTTGCATCGACTCTGCACTTAAAGGCTACAATTACAGGCTCCTCTAACCATCCTAGAGTCAATGTGGTTAAAAACCAGAAAATCCTCGACCTCAATGCACTTAATGCAACGATTTCAGACAAAGTGCCAAGGCCTGCTGGAAATGACTTGATGAGGAGGCGGAAAAAGGGACGTCTGCATGAAGGACCAGGTGCTTCATGCTGACATCCCCACCCAGCCTCAAGAATCCTCCATAAACTTTAACGAACCTGGAGCTATTGTACCTGGAGAAGATGTTTTAATATCTAATGAAAATAAAGAAGTTGATACTTCTTACTCTTCTTCTGGTAATTTTCCCATGTTCCTTAAGCTGCCGTTCAAATTCAGAAGTCTGTTTACCCAGGTCACTGTTCAAGTTCATAAAATTCCAGTCCTAGTCATAGTTGACAGTGGCTCCTTCATGAACGTCATATCATCCAAGTTAATGAAGTGCGTTAAGATTGCTCCAGATTTGCCACACTATATGGAGTATGGCACAGCTGGCCCACAATGTATCGATCTATAGGGGCTTATTCCTTTCTATTGTTACAGTTTGTAAAGCTTGCTTTAAACACCCCCGCTATTGTGTTAGATAACCTTGTCTATGACCTGTTCCTTGGGACTCAGTACCTTTGATACTATTCAAAGTACTCCATTATGATGGCGGCTTTCTGTCCCTACTAGGGCGTCAGATCCCTCTGATCTTTGAGACCTCTCGCTCTTTTAAAACTGAGGTCAAAGACCAAGCTTGTTTACTTTAGAATGAAGGCCAAATTGGTCAGCTTGAATATCACATTAGGGGCCTCCAAGTCCAACTGCCCCCTCCTGCTGTTGATGGGCAAGAGGGCATGCCGATCTACTTACCTATGAAGACTACCATAACTCCAAGTCATAAGTTAATGCTAACACCTGGGTCCATGTCAACATCCCCTTGGGATACCTATTAGAATTATGAGGCCTAGACAACCCATCCACGAAAGAGGTGCTAACCTGCCCGAGGGGATACTAGATCAAGCTTATGCTGGATCTATATCAGTGTTGTTGCCAACCTTAATGACAAACCCAAGATAGTAGGTCCAAACAGTACTGCCGCCTATGTCCGCCTTCTACCAATGGAGGCTATTGCTGATGTCCAAAGCTTTGGGGACTTAAGAGATTTTGTCTTGGAGACACAACCATTGGTCAGCCTGGTCAATACCAATATTGGCAAAGACATCCCGGGCGACCAACAACATAAGGTTCAAGAGTTGTTGGAGGAGTATTTGAACCTATTTTTGGCCTCAACCTATGACTTTAGAAGAATGAAGGAAGTATTAAATCATGTGGAAACTGGAGACGCTCCCCTTTCAGTCCCAACCTTACTGAAAAAGCAAAGTTAGAGAGGTCCAGGTGACAGTGGAACTTAAACAACTACTTGATGCCAGACTCCTGGTACCATCGCACAGCCCTTGGGACTCACCTCTTTGCTGGTTCAGAAGAAGGATGGCAACCACTGGGTGGTGATGGACTACTGGCGACTCAACTCCATCACTAAGAAAGACAGCTATACTCTGTCCCAAATTGATGATTCCCTCCGTCTGCTCATCAAATCATGGTACTTTTCTGCCATGGACCTCGCCAGCAGATATTGGCAAGTTGAGCTTACCCCTGAAGATTGAGCCAAGTGTGCTCTCATAGCCAACGAAGGACTATTTGAGCCCACAAGGATGCCTTAGGGTCTTTGTAACGCCCCAGCCATTTTCCAACGTGCCATGGATGGGATCCTTGGTGTTTGAAGCTTTCTTGAGTCCTCATCTACCTAGATGACATTACTGTTTTCTAATGAACCTTTAATGGGCACATTGAGCAACTTAGGGAAGTCTTTATCGGCTACAAAAGGTTCTATAAAGCTTAAACCTTCGAAGAACTCTTTCTTTCAATATGAAATGGAGTTCCTTGGATACAAAGTTTCCAAAGATGGCATTCAGCCTATACCGGACAAGTTTGACG